TAACTTTGCAGATATTGTTTATGCTCAAACAGCAACATTATACACTAACTAACGTTAAAAAAGTAAAATCGCAATGAACCACCCCTTTAATCACACTGAGGCTGATGGTCTTCTGAAAATGACATGATTTCCATACAACCAGTCCTAGGATCTGTCAGGGAGTTAGTGATTAGTGAGGAACACAAACTCCCAGGGTGAACACCCCGATATCTGATGAAGCTGGTCAGCGTCCGGTGTTGACACGGTGTAAGGTTATCTTGCTGGTTTAGAAACCTAGTGGGGAAACCAGCACTTCAGCATCTCGTACTAGAGACCAGGGCCAGTTGGAGTGTAAATGAGCGTTAAATTACAACTCACTGTTGAATATTTTAGTGTTGCACCATTTGAGCAAAGTATTTATTGCCCTTATTGTTACCATTCATGAATATCCATTATTTGCCAGTTAAAAATTGGGTAATGGATAATGTTTCCACCAAAATATTAAGCAGCATGACAGTTTTTAGGCTGGAGTAATGGTTGCTGAAAATTTTGTTTTGCCATCAACAGGAATAAATTACACTTTAAATATATACTTTTAAATATACTTCTAAAGTAGAAGTTATTTTAGATTGTAATAATATTTCACAATATTACTGTTTGCACTGTATTTTTGATCAAATAAATGCAGCCTTGGTCAGCAAAAGAGACTTATTTGCATTGAACTTTCAGCTTGAAACATGAAAATATTTTACCAACCCCAAACTTTTGAACTGTAGTGTATTCTAATCATTTATTTTTTTTAATAATTCTCTCTCTCTCTCTCTCTCTACACTATTTATTATATTTCATGATAATTTATTTAGTGGAAATATTATTTATTTCCCTTTGACAGTTACGTGGGGAAACACTTATGGGATCAATAAAAGTTCATGTCCAATTATGCAACTGCACATTACTTTACGAAGAGCTACTGCCGTAAAGGATTGTTCACAAAATAAAGAACATTCTATCATTATTTTTACTCACCCTCATGTTGTTCAAATCCTGTAGTCTTTTCTTTCATCAGGAACACAAAAGTAGATATTTTAGTTAGTTTTTTGTCCATACAATGAAAGCCAATATTATTTTGAACAAAAACAGTTGAAACATTCTTCAAAATATAATTATGACAGAGTTTATTTTATAAACAATTTTATAAACTAATTACAAATTAATGCTGCAAGTAGAGAGTTTGTAAGAAACTACTAGTCAAACCCTAGTACCAGCATCCAAAATACAGTATATGCTGGTGATCATTTATGCTGCTATTTTCAGTCTCACTGCTCACCTGTCACAGCTGTAGAGAAACAAATCCCAGGTGATCCTACACCTAAAGTAATGTTCATTTCATGAAGTCTCACTGCTAGCAGGAAATCAAATGAAGCACTGTCTTTTCGTACGTCTGCTGGTTTGTGACTGAACTCCAGGGATCAGATTTGGTCACCCAAAATCAATCCATTACCTCACACGTCCAGAATCTTCCAGATATGACATGACATGCAGGAAAATTAACGACATGTGCTGGTTTAGACCTAAAAATGGCACCTGACTGATGGATGATCTCCATTCTCCCCACTTCTAAGATTACCTCAATAATACTTGGAGAAAGGAATCATTTAGATTCCCTCAGAACTGTCAGCTGACACAAGCCTGGATAAATAATTCCATTCACCCATGACTCTTTGAGTTATTTAGAAAATGGGTTTGGGGCCTTGAAGATTTTGTTTCAGTTTCTTTTGTGTAACACACTTTTTGTACATGTTTTTTTGTTTGCTTCTCTGGGAGTCATTGCAGAGGTGTTTGAGATGTTATTTTCATATCCTAAGGTACGCTGGTCTTTAAAGCATAAGCTACTTGGGTCAGTTACCTTAAATGAACCTGCATCACCAGTCCTTTTTAGAAGTAATGAAGCTAATTTATTTAATGATAACATGGATTTTTAAATAGCGGTCGAGGACATTCTGTATGTCCCTGTCTTATCTCCATTTCTCTCATCCATCTGTTTGTGGTATTCTTGTATTTGCTGCACAAGAACTCTCACCTTCACCCTGTTGACTGTTCTGTGAGGTTAATTAAATCATGTTTTCAGAACCTTCATGCACCCAGTGCTCCAGTCAATTCAGTTTCACCCCTGACCACTCCAAGCAGCCGTGACATTAACCTGACTATTAATAATCAGTCATCAAAAGTTTATAATCCTGAGCAAACACTGCTGATATTTCACATCAGGCACCTCGAGAGAGTTTCAACCATGATTTCTGAGGACTCAAGGGCCTTGGGGAAAGCAAGTAAATGAGGTTTATGCTTTTTTGGGAACTTTGTGACACCGGTAAGCAGTGTTGTATGAAGTAGCCAAGTAAAACTACAGATTCCTTTATGGAAATTGATTCAAGTATAAGTTAAAGTTGCTCACGTGAAAAATACTTAAGTAAGTAACATTATTAAAGTAACATTTTTATTTCGTTTTAGTTATAGTCTTTAGATGAAAATGCCATTTAATTTTACTCATATTTTATTAATTTGAATTGTTTTTGTTTTAGTCTACTAAATATCATAGGATTTTAGTTGACTAAATCGTCTCTAGGTTACGTATGTAACCATGGTTCCCCGAGGGAACGAGACGCTGCGTCGAGTCGCTTTGGGAACGCCCTTGCGTGACCGCGTTCTGAAGCACGTGTCAAATCCGTCCAATGGAGTAGCGAGACGTCACGAGCAGGGTGACGTAAGCACCAGAAAGCATAAAGGCACATCCGGCCGGGCGCAAACCAGCTTCGATGAAGTAGCGCCTGCAGGGATGCAGGGAGTATGGCAAAGAGACGCAGCGTCTCGTTCCCTCGGGGAACCATGGTTACATACGTAACCTAGAGACGTTCCCCTTCAGGAACTCGAGCTGCTCCATTGGACGGATTTGACACGTGCTTCAGAACGCGGTCAAATTGTTTTTGTTTTAGTGCGACTCGACGCAGCTCGAGTTCCTGAAGGGGAACTACAGTAATGTAGATTTTAGTTGACTAAATCTACAGTAATGGATTTAGTTACAGTTAATGCATTTATTAAGCATACATCTCTAAAATCTCCAAACTAATTTTATATTCCTGGATAAAACATCTATTAACCTGTTAATATGAATAATAGTAAGGCTTGAGCATGCAATATAGACAGATTTAACTGCTGTGACACATAACATGTCTTATATCTTAAAATTAAATAAAACCACTTATCATAAAGAAACAAGAACATGGTCTTCTTTTCAATGGTTATATAATATGCATTTTATAACAACTTGCTTACAACATTATTAATTCTTTCAAGCAAACATATTTATTTATACAGATTAAATTTAGACTAATCCTTATTAGGGCTACTAAAGTGATTCAGTCAAGAGCAGTAAGTGATTTCTCTTTCTTTTGTTGTTAGATTAATATTAATGACACAGACAACGGCAACTAAATTAGGCTGCTGTCCCTTTAAAACTGAATGCATGGATGCAATATAATATAATATAAAATGGACAATCTTTTTATGTTTTGTGTGTTCCTCCATTCATGTGCGATATGATGTGAAAGAAAACTGAATTCAGTAGGGTGCTTTTCTGTGTGCGTGATTCGGGTGTGTGCACTCAGAAAACCAGACCGAATTCAGTTCTCTTTTGCGTTGTCACACCTTTTCCCAAATTTATCCATATGTCTGCTCTTCTCTTACTCCAAGACATTGACATTTTTGAACGTTATATGAGATGTGCAGCAAGTGTATCCTACCTTATGTCCCGCCGGATATCAGTAAGTTCAAGTGTTCGCATCGAACCACCCAACCACACAGGAGATTCGATCTGACCGGATCTCTTCCCAAATCATCCCTCTCTAACATTTTCGTCTCATTTTTATTTGTTCACGAAAATGTCAACAGATTTTCATCATAGTTTTTGCCATTCAAAAAAGTTTTATAAATAATGGCACAGCTGAGTGTATTGATTTAATATGCATTATACAGTGGCAAGATGAAAAGAAAGTGCCATCTAAACTTTTATGAAAACAGTCAGTTCCCCAAGGGGTTGAAATTGGGCACAACACCGGTTGGGAATTATGGTCGGTCGACCGGTGCATCTCTAATGTCCATATAACGCATGTTTACATAGAAAAACAAGCTTTTTTGTCTTTTTCATCACTATTCTTTTTTGACTCGAGAATCGTTGATTTCAACAGTAATGGATATAAAATGCTAAGAATCAAATGAATCGCGATTTCTATAGCGATTCAATGCTTTCAAAATATATGCACATTAAATTACTACAAGCACAAATTAATGGAGACCTTGAACAGGGCCCATTCGTGCCCTCACATCTCTCCTTCACGCGCTCCACTATTTACCGCCTGCAGTGACTGTCAAAGGATTGCGCTTGTGCTTCGTTCGTCTCACTGACACATTGAGCAGCTGATGTGTGATCTCTCCTTAGTACCCGTGGCCAGTAATGCTAAAGTAAAGTAGTTTTGTTTTTCTGTAGTTTTTCAATGGCTCTCTGTCATACCGACGTCATTACCTGAGCAGTCGAAGGCTGCGCATGTAAGTATGTACATGTAAGTGTCTAAAGCATACGCACAGTTCCATTGAATGAATGTGTTTTAACAATGTTGTTGAACCAAATGTATGAAGGAAACTGTTAAAAATAACCACAGCATTAAAAAGGGATAGTTCACCCAAAAATGAAAATTTGATGTTTATCTGCTTACCCACAGGGCATCCAAGATGTAGGTGACTTTGTTTCTTCAGTAGAACACATATGATGATTTTTAACTTTAACCGTTGCAGTCTATCAGTCGTATAATGCATGGCAATGGAAACAAAATCTATGAGAGTAGAAAAAACATGCACAGACAAATCCAAATTAAACCCTGCGGCTTGTGACGGCACATTGATGTCCTAAGACATGAAACGATCAGTTTGTGCCAGAAACCGAACAGTATTTATATAATTTTTTACCTCTAATACACCACTATGTCCAACTGTCTTTGGGCGCACGCACGGCATCCGGTGCGTGAGGTGTGTACGCGCTCTGGCGTAGTTTACGTTAATGGGTGTGTTGATATCCAGCCAAAGAGCAATCAACCATAACTTCAGGCGAGCAGGCTCAGAAGTTGGGAATACGTGGAAAGTCACCACTCCAAAGTTAAAAATCATCATATGTGTTCTACTGATGAAACAAAGTCACCTACATCTTGGATGCCCTGGGGGTAAGCAGATAAACATCAAATTTTCATTTTTGGGTGAACTATCCCTTTAACAACAACCTTGAAATAAGAGCGCAAGGTTTATCTGATAATCAGATGCATGAAAGTAGCGTTCGTTGCTAAAGTAAACAGACATCGGCACATTTTCTTTCAGAATCATCATTCGCCGATGGAGAGGAAAAGTTAAATACTATAGCATTTTATTTTATGAAAATGAGATAAAGAAGTTTTTGCACTGGAAGAAAAGTGATCTCGCGCTCAAAGAACTTAAGACGTGCCAGGAAATGCCTAATATGGACAAAGGCATCTATCGCTGCAGCGAAACTGAATAAACGTTTCATTATTGTCTGAAACGTTAAGACAATAATCACAATAAATAAATACAATTTATGAATGATGCAGTGCTAATTGACATATTTATTACAGTACAGAAACTATAAAGTATATTTTCTACCTAATTATCCACCGAAAATTGAAATAATTGGTTTTAGTATATAAAACAATCATAAAATTGACATTAGGAAAAAAATGATAGATTACAAATGATTGATTATTGTCCAGCAGTGTATTTGTGTAAGATAAGATAATAAAATATATATATATAAATATATAATAATAATAATACATTCATAGGCCTACATAAAATTATTGTCTTTGACATTTCTGTCACTTCTGAAATTATGACTACGGCCCTGGTGTGACAAAATGTTAGCCTATACATAATACTTTTAAAGCTCTTTTTTAAAATCTTGGCTTACATAAATTTCTACATATGCCATGTCATGCCATAGCATCATTAAACTAGCATCTAACAATGGACAAAAGTGTTTTTTTTCTCTAGCCCATGGTTCTGTAACCCTAAAAGCTGCTGTGTAATTTGCCCCCTGACTAAGCATTTAAAGAATTTAGTGGAAGCATTTAAATAATCCTGTGAATGCACTTAAAGAATGCAGAATCGAATCGCTAATCGAATTGAATCGAATTGAATTGTGAATCAAATCGAATTGAATCGTTCTTAATTTTCAAAAATCGTTCTTGAATCGAATCGAAAACCTATGAATCGTGAATCAAATCGATTCGCTGTCTACCCACAGATTCACAGCCCTAATACCTACCTTGATAAAACACAGATTAAAACTTACACGAATAGCGTCTTCAATTTAGATCCACAGTGGAAGATACGTTATGCACTGCTTGGCGTGCTTTTGCTTCTCAACTTTTATTCAGATTCGTGATTTGCAAAACGAATCATTTATACCTCTTCACGAGCCAGTTTGGCAAATTCAAAGGAACCAAATTGAATCAAAAGATTAATTTGCGAACTGTATCACTAATCAGCAAAGATTGATTTCTGTTTTTTGCACTTTGCAGTCGCAAATGAATTAAAAGGGTCTGGAGAAATGTATCAGTGTAAAAGTATACATTTTTCTTTAATATGTAGTAAAGTAAAAGTCAACAAAAATATTTATACTCAAGTAATTAAAAAAAAATCCAAAAACTACTTGAGTATCGTGACAAAGTATTTGTACTTTATTACTATACATCACTGCCAGCAAGTATATGTTGCCCTGTGTCATGTGTACATGCCAGGTTTCAACACGTATAAAAAAGAAATTACAATAAATTATTAATTTATTTAATTAATTAAAAATCAGTGTCAAATGTTGCAGTTTGCTGTTTTTGGAATGAATTTATTTTTGCATATATACTAAGTAGGGCTGGGACAATAAATCGATGCATCGTGAATCGAGAAATTATTCTGCATAGATTCTGAGATTTTTCAAAGGCATCACGATTCTCTCTTGAATCGACTCTGAGTTTAGTTTTTAATAGCAGATGGCACTGCGTGCTTTAGAAATAGCCGTATTCTGCTTGCTTCCAGTTCCTTACACACGCACCATTTGAACCTAAAATAATCATTCATAAAGTTCAAAAAGGTTGACGCGAATTACAAGGATGTTCACAGTGGGCTGTGTTAACATTAATCTCGCATCATAAAAGCCGATGTGCAAGTACATTTAACCACTTCTTCGGGAGCATTTGAGTGTGCGATTAAAAACTAGCCTAGAGCGCCATCTGCTGTTAAAAACTAAGCTCAGAATCGATTCGAGAGAATCACGATGCATTCCGAAAATCTCAGAATCGATCCACGAGTCACGATGCATCGATTTATTTTCCCAGCCCTAATACTAAGTATATTTCTTAATATAATTAAATACAAATATAGTAATATACTATTTATTTTACAATTATTTAACTATTTTACTATTACTCTAACACTCCTGAATACAGCTTCGCCCCTGACCGCTACAAACAGCCGTGACATTAATCCTGTCAGTCCATAATCCTGAGCAAATACTCCTGATATTTCGTGTTAGGCACTTTGAGTGATTCTCAGTCATGTTTTCTGAGGACTTGGGGGCCTTAGGAAAGCATGTCAATGAATTTTGTGCTTTTCCCCTCTCTGTGTATTGAAAGATTACCCATAGTCCAAAGCTTTCCCATTCAAGTGCTTGATTGACATGTGGAGAGACTGTTCAGCACAACGGCTGGCCCCTTTCTGACACCATTTAGTCCATTTAAAACACTCTTGAGAGCTAATCTGATATTATAACCCTTATGATTCCTGTGTGTATTGTCAGTTTTGTCGGTTCAGGCCATGCTGAAGTGGTCGTAGTTTTCCGTTTGACTTGTTTCAGATGCCATTCAGGGTGAAGAAGCCCTGGGAGAGAAGGCTTAAATTGCCACAATTGTGAGTGTACAGTATGTGTGCGTATTAACATTTGGGCATTTGCAGAAGTTTTAGTGCTATGTTTACATTTAGAGGTCATTTGTGGACTAAGTCTGTTGTTGCAATGGCTTAAAGTGTTAGTTTACTCAATGAAAAGGAACATTGTTATTTTTTGCTCATCCATCAGTACAAGCCGTTTTTTGTGAAGCACAAAATAACAAGTCTAGCAGATTGTCCTTGGGTTTTATTTTCCCTACAACAATAGAGAGTGGGGATGGATGCTGTTATGCTTGAAAAATGAAAGAGAAATCTTTATAGTTGCCCGCATAGCTTGTGCACTTAAAAGTATTCTAAGGTCATAACATTGTGTGGAGAATTTAAATTGTTGTTGTTGTTATTTATTAATTTTTTTTAACTGATAATTTTAAGGTCCAGTTCTCACTTTTAACTGACGATTAACTACAACTTTTGCCTGAATAAACTCCTAATTACTGCTAATTAGTAGTTCGTAAGGTAGTTGTTAAGTTTAGATATTGGGTGGAATTAAGGATGTATAATATGGTCATGCAGATTATGTGCTTATAAGTACTAATAAACAGCCAATGTACTAGTAAAATGCATGTTAATAAGCAACTAGTTAATAGTGAGAATTGGTCCCTATCCTAAAATGTTACCATAATCGTCACCTTAGCTCATACTTTCAAGTAATCAAAAATGATTGGTCATGTAAAATGTGAAAACCTATAGTATTCTGCATGATATACAACCATGGCATGTTTGAATGCACACATGCGCTACCATTCAAAAGTTTGGACTCTAAAATGTTTTTAATCAAGTCTTTCACCAAGGCTGCATTTATTTTATAAAAAATACAGTAACTACAGTAATATTGGGAAATATGATTACAACTCAAAATAACTGTTTTCTATTGAAATGTATTTTAAATTGTAATTTATTTCTGCGATGGTGCTGTATTTTCAGCAGCCATTTCTCCAGTTTAGAGTGTCACAAGATCCTTCAGAAATTATTCTAATGCTGATTTGGTGCTGATTTTTTATGCAATAAAATATTTGTATTTTATATAATGACATTTTATTTATACAATAAAATATTTTAGTAAAATATATTTTATTTTATGTATTTATTTATTTTATTTTAAGAGCTCGACAGACATAATTCTCTTTTGGTGTATGGGGGAAAAAAAAGTGGTTTCCTTTTGTTTTTCATAGCAGATGGAACGTCAAACTGAAGTAGGAGTTGATGCGATTACAGTTTTAATGTTGAGTTTTAATGCCGATTTGGTTGTGGTCTGTGAATGGTAACGGTATATGTAAAATATGTAAATACTTGTCTGGAAAACAAATGTGTTACCTCTACCAGAAAATAAATTAATCTAGCAATTTTACAGCAATTTCACAGTGTTCAGTGCCAGTTAAGTTGTAGCATACAGTTTGTGTGGATTTGATATGACGCAAGCCTGAAATTTCATTAAACGCATCACAAAGACGTAATATTTTAACAACACAATTAGTTAATAACACACATGCAGCAAACAGTTGTCTGGCTTTTAATCTGTCACATCTGATTCTCCTCATCCTGCCAGTTAGTCCTATTACTCAGATCCAAGTTTTTTTTTTCCTCCTCCCCCTCGTGTTTGTAAATCTTGGAATGACTCCAGTCAAATCTTCCAGCAGATTTCTGAATCGGTAAAGCCAAAACCAGCCTCAGTGACACATTGGTGACGGAGCAGGACTAGCATTAACTAAGACTACAATGACAGATCGTGACATATGTTCAGCTACAACATGCCAAGACCTGATCTATGTCTTCAAAAATCATCCAGCAGCTATAGGGCTACAGAAAACATGCTGCTCAACATCCCATGAGCTTTGCAAGGCGAATGTTTGACGTTGAGAAATGAAACTGGCTGGGGGAAAAAAACCTTTGCCCCTTTTTTTTTGCCAAGTTATTTCCAACTCAATATAAAGAAAAAGTGAAAGTGTCTTGTGTGGTGTGTGTAGTCTACTGTGATTAGCGGCCTTTCTTTAACCTGAGAGTGGAAGAGATTGTGCGTCTGACAGGAGATTGTGCGTCTGATTTCTAATCACAGAAATGTGTGTTTCTAATTTGACTTGATGGCAATTGGAGGCTGTTCTGAGCTATAATTTCTGTGCCGTCTCCTTCTCTCTCTCGCTCTCTCTCTCTCTCTCTGAATCATCTGCTATCATCCCACACACATCAGACACATACAGCACACATACACGCACGCACACATAGTTAAATATTCACAAAAAAGGACACACGCAAACCTGCACAAACAACATTGAATTCCACAGACACCTGCATAACCTAAAATCAGGGATGTGCTGGGCTGCATTAATTTGTTTGGCAGCAGAGCTTTACTCACAGGCCAACTGAACAAGAATCATTTGGTGCAATTGAATGATATTTAGACAAAATTTTGTCAAAACTGACCCAGTTTTAATTTATTGATAAATGTTCCTTGTTTAATTGCACAGTTAATTAATGTGTTATTAATAAGTTATAGGTGACTTGATTCTGATTCGCAAGCTCTCTATTTTATTTAGATTCTGATTCGGTTTGACATATTTCAATTGTGTTAATTTTTTTCCCCTAAATATGAATGTATGCTAATACAATGGTAACTTGTTGTTTAAAAGGGCCGGCTCATAAGAGTCACTTGTTTGTGAATGCAGAAACACTGGTTGAACTGTGGGGTTTTTGATTCACAAAAAAATCCTGTTGAAAATAGTCATATGTTTGCAAATCTGACTACATTGTTTGCATCGTTTGTACTGTTATTTGATTATCTAAAAATAATTGGTTTGTAAGAAGCATATGTTTTTGAATCGGACCAAACTTGTTGCACTGTAATGTTTTGGATTCACAAAAAAAATTAAAAATAAAATTGTAATTTGTTCAAAAGAGTCATTGTTTGCAACTCAGACTACATGGGTTGCGCTATTTAATTTGAAAAAAAAAAGTTGGTTCATAAGAGTCATTTGTTTGTGAATCAGACTACACTTGTTGCACTGTATGGTTTTGATTCACTAAAAATAACTGATTCATAATAGTCATTTGTTTGTGAATTGGACTATACTGATTGCACTGATTGATTTTTGATTGACAAAAAAAAGAACTTTTTCAAAGAAGTCATTTGTTTGTGAATCTGACTACATTGGTTGCACAGTGTTGTCTGATTCGCTAAAAAGAACCAATTCGTGAGAGTCATTTGTTTATGAATCTGACTTTTTTCCCTCAGATTTTTGATTATCTGCACAGCTACTCCAGCCACTTTATTATCCCCATCTATCAAAAATATGTCTGTAAATTTTTTTCCCCATTAATTGTATTTGTTACAGTCTATTAAATAGCTTCGGACTGTTACATCAAAGCTGTTTAAGGGGCTGTTCACATATCGTGTATTTTGCGTGCTCAAGTTCGCTATTTCAAATGTAGACGTGCGGCAGGCACGCTCATAATGGAAGTGATGCGGTCGGGATGCACACGTGGTGCGACGCGCACATTTTTTCCAGGCGTGTCCGTGCCGCATCGAGATAAAAACATTTAAACTTTTCAGAATGCCGCAAGTGCACCGCAGGTCATGTTACAAGAACCAACCAATCAGCTTCATCCTATCCCGTAACAACATTGAAAGCTCAGGGATACCCATTTTTAAATAAATTTAGTAGCAGAGCTACTGCAAGTGATTTTTAGTTCTGCAAATCCATTTATCCTTTGCTGAAACTTCCGCGTCTTCATGGAGAGCGTAGGTCATGGTTGCTTAGCAACGGCAGACGCAAGCACCCCAACGCTTTGGAAAAAAGCAGAAAGCGGCGTGCATGTTCTTAGGCGCGACATGTGAACGGCCCCTAAGTCATCTTTTGATTTTAATCCTATAAAAGCTGTTAGCAATACCAATAGTATAGTAATAGTCAAATAAGTATATTTTTTAAATGATATTTTTATACCAAAAGAGCTGCACTGTCTATATTAGTGGTAATTTTAAAATGATGTACAGCTTTGAATCTTCTAGTGTCGACTGACACTAGCAGCACAACTGTGTTTCATATATTTCAAAGTTAGCTTAACCTGTTGCTTTAACATGTTTCACCCTTTTTCCTTCAACACATATAGAT